CCATTAGTTTGGGTTTGTTGGTCTCCTTGGGCTAGGGTTTGAGGAATAAAGGGAGGTCACCCCAGGCTAGGACTGTGGTAGGAAAACTTCTTCAGGCCAAGAACAGGGTTATGGAGCGAAGAGACTTTCTCCTTCTCTGAGGTTGCCTTTCATTACTGCACACTGAAAAAACAGTGTTGAGATTCTACACTCCAGCTCCCAAATACCTGCCCTTTCATTCAGAAATAATGTAGAATTATTACTGCAATTATTGCTTTCCTTTTTTATTAATAACTTGGCTGTCTAATTTTAGATTAGAGGTGGGAGATGCTGTCAGATTAAATTATCTGGGGATCTGCTGCTGCATTGTTCCCAGAAGTTTGGTGGCAGTTTTGCTTTAACTAGGAATAATTTCATGAAGCAAAAATCAGACACTTCCCTGAAGGTATCTGGGAATTTATATTTGCAGAGAAATATATCAGTACTATGGTAATTGATACTGCTTTTTAATGTAAATATTCCTACTGCCCCTTTTCTTTTGGCCTCCCTGGGTGTGTCTAGACTACAGGGATTTTTCCAAAAAAGTAGCCTTTTTTCAAAAAAGCTTTACCTGCGTCTAGACTGCCACTGCGTTCTGTCGACAATAAATCGACAGAATGCAGCGGTTTTGTTGACAGCAGTAAACCTCGTTTTACGAGGAATAACACTATTTTCAACAGAGATCTGTCGAAAAAAGGGTAGTTTGGATGCGGGGAAGATTTTTTGTTGATAATAAAGGCGTCCAGGAAGAAGCCCTGGTGGACACTCCTGCCAGACCTTTCATCTCTATTATTCCTGCCTGTAGCCATCTTTTAAAGCCACAGGCACCCAGGAGTAGTATTGAGGCAGCAAGCCAGCTCCAAACAGGACCCTGACTGCTGAGCTCTTCCTGGTAGGGCCACTCAGAGCCATGTCCCAGGGACAAGCCCCCCGAAACACCCTCGCCCCTCCAGGGACACATCCCCACAAGAAGCCAGGGGCACCAAACACCAGGCACCCTCCTGGTCTGGCCCTGAGATCAAAGCCCTCTTGGGGCTCTGGTCTGAGGAGGAGTCTCTTCAGGCACTGCAGTCCAAGAGGAGGAATACGGACATTTACACCAGAATGACTGATGGCCTTGTCAAAAAAGGACACCACCTCCTCACGCTGGAGCAGGTCAGGGCAAAGGTCAAGGAGCTGCAGCAGGGGTATGTTAGAGCCCATGAGTGCAGCTCCCGCTCTGGGAAAGCACCACAGTATTGTGCCTATTATGAGGACCTGGACTGGATCCTGGGGACAGGGGAACCCCTGTCTCCCGAGAGGGATGTGGAGTCTGGGGTGGAGACCCCTGGGCAGCAGCGGCTGCAGCTCCAGGGTGAGACCCCATAGGACCAGCAGCTCCAAGAGGGACCAGCCGCTCCAAGAGGAGGAGGAGGAGGAAGACACTAGCAGGACACTAGCAGGAGCAGTGACCCTGACCCTGGAGCCAGACACCCAGATGCAGGTGGCCTCCCAGACAACTTTGGACATGGGAGAGGGAACATCAGGTGAGTGCTGTGAGGAGCCAACACACGCAGAGCAGGGGAGGCGTCAGCAAAGTGGATGGTGCAGTGCTATGACATGTCATGCTGATCACAGCCTGGTGGGGGCACACACATGGCTCACCTCAAGGAGGGCCGTCCTACCCCTGCACCCGCATGGCTGCGAGGCACCACCTGCTCCTGCATGCACCACCTGCTTGTGCAGCAGCGCACTGCTATTTGCACTGCTATCCGGGAGGCCATGGCCTTCCCTGGTCCTGTGCCTGTTCCTGCTCCTCCTTCTCAGTCTGCCCTCTCTCATCCCCTGCTGCCCTTTCACCCCTGCCATCCCAGACCCAGGTACAGCCCCACCTCCTGCCCAGCCCCCTACTGTCCTAGCCCGTAAGCGCAAGTGTCTCCGAGCAGGCCTCCGCAGCCAAGGTGGCAGGGGCTCGTCACCCAGGCGGCATCCTCAGCCCTGAGCCTCCCTCCCTGCTTCTAGGTTGACGTCCCCCTTCCTACCTGTGAGAGTCAATAAGGAAAGCACTTTACTTTGTTAATGAACAATTTCTTTCAAAAAAGAAACAGTGCAATAAACTGTACAAATGTTTTCATCACCACCTGTCTCTGTTCTCAGTGTGAGGAATGAGTAGAATGTGTGAATGTGGGGCCGGGAGTGGTTTTGGGGAGGAAGGCACCGGGGGACATGGGGCAATCCCACATTTGGAAGGCCCTGGAGAAAATCATTGGCCTTCATGGGAGAATTGCTCCCTCAGGGCTTCCCGAATGCGCAAGCCCAGGTGGTGGGCTTGCTGGATGGCAGCTGTCTGGGGCTCCTCAAAGTGCCTCCCTTCCACATCAGCCTATGTCCCCCACGCTGGGAGGAAGGCCTCCCCTTTCCTCTGCACTAGATTGTGCAGCACACAGCAAGCAGCAACCACATCAGGGCTGTTGCCCCATGTCCAGGTGAGTAAGCAGGCATCTAAACCTGCACCTCAGATGCCTGAAGGCGCATTCTACCTGCAAGCAAGCCTGGTTCAGGTGGGAGTTAAACAGTTCCCTGTTCACATCCAGGTGTCCAGTGAACGACTTCATGAGCCAGAGCATAAGGAGGAACGCCATGGCAGCCACGATGCACATAGGCATCTGCACATTCCCAACTGCATAGTTTCACTCCAGAAAGAATGTCCCAGCCTGACTAGAGTTCTGAAACACGCAAGCATCATGTGCCCTGCCCGACCACCTGACAAAAATGTCTGTCAACTGTCCACGGTGGTCGACCAGTGCCTACAGCACCATAGAAAAGTAGCCCTTTCTGTTAATATACTGGGCTGCTCGATGGGGTGGTACGCGGATCATGATGTGCATCCCGTCGAGTGCTCCATGGCAGTTCGGAAATCCTAGCCCTGCAAATCCAGCCACAATGGTATCCAGGTCTCCGAAGCGGACAGTCCTGTGAAGCAGCTCTGAATTGATGGCTGTCACCACCTGCAGAAAGAGACAAATAGAAACACACATAACAGGATATTAGAGGAGTTACGTGAGCTGATGAGAGGTGCTTTCCCACCCTTTCACCTCCCAGACCCCAAGAGCCTCCCCCTCTGACAACCCCCCATCTCCCCTCCCACACTCCTCACAACATGGCAGGGTGAGGCCAGGAAGATTTCTACCACTGCCACCCCCATTCTCCATTCCCTCTTCCTGGTCCTGACTGCTCCCCTTATCTGCCTCCCCCCTTGGACTGTCCTCAGAGTGTGACTTACCTCCATCAAGATGGCCCCAACAGTGGTTCTCCCCAAGCCAAACTGGTGTCCCACGGAGCGGTAGCGGTCGGGGGTGGCAAAAGCGACCCGCTTCTCCGGCGGGATGGCAAGCTGCAAGTGGGTGTCCTGGAATTGTAGGGCAGGGGCAAGCCAGGCACAGAGCTACTGGAAGGTGGACTTCTGCATAAGGAAGTTTCGGAGCCAAGCCTCATCGTCCCACTGTTCCATAACAAGTTGGTCCCATCAGTCTGAACGGGTGTTCAGCCTCCAAACTTGCCTCTGCAGGAATAAGTTCAGCGGCAAAGGCAGTGGGGCTGCAGCCTGCGTGAGGGGCTCAAAGCTGGGCTCTGAATCCAGCTCTGCCACAAACATCATGATGCTCTCATGCAGATGCAGCAGAACTTCCAGCATCACAATGTGGGGCCATCGCCTGCCCAGGGGCAGCTCAGGCTCCATTGCCAAAACACAGTGAAAAGCAGAAAAAAAACCCTCAAAATAAACTGCTGTGGTGTCTGCGAAAGCAGGGCAACCAGAGCAAGCACTGCAGCAGCTTTGCTTTCCCTCCAAGAGGTAGGCAAGCCAGAAGCAGGAGCAGAGCAACGGCTGTCATGGGGAATCCCTTTAAGCTCACGTCTCTGCAAAGAGCATGCAGCAGCACCTGAAAATAAAGGCTGCCCCTATGCCCTGTTAGAAGCAAACACTTCCAGGTGCCTTTTTTTTTTTTTTCAAAATAGCGTCCAGAAGTCTGGACGCTCTTTTTTGAAAAAGCGGATTGATTTTTTGATCTGCGTCATGCAAGCTAGCCCCTCTTTTTCGAAAAATACTTTCGAAAAAGCCTCTGTTGAAAAAGGCGTATAGTCTAGACGTATCCCCGTGTTTGTCTGTTTATCCATATTATGTGTCCTGTCATAATCCTTAAGAATGAGATTTCTGAGGGAGGGTCTGCCTCTTCCTGAATACAATGATGCCTTGATTTCTGGATAAAACAAATAAGTAATAAATATAGTATTCAAAATGGAGAGAAATGGAAAAAAAGATCCCTTTTTTCTTTGTGCTTATGTATTTATATGGATTTTATATGCACCAGAAAAAGCATATTTTTTAACCTTAGATACATCCATCCTGTGTTAACTTTTAGAGAAATCTAATGTTCAGAGCAAAGAGATTAAATTTAGATGTGTTTTAAGTGGGGTTTGTTTGGGGGTTTTTTGTTTGTTTTGTTTTGTTTAGAAAATATATTTCATAGGAAAAGCTTCATAACTTCTACCATTATTATCCTTACCTTTTTTCTTTCTTTATAGTATAAAGAGAAACATCGGAAACCATGGAAAGAACAGACTTATTCTTGTTACTCCATATGCCTCTTTGTTCTAAGGATTTTATTTGGAGTGTTTTCATTCCTTTGGTTTCTTAATTGTTTCTTAGCTAAGAGAAGACAATAATGGCTAAAGGGAATCTAGTCCTGTTGAAACACCTCTGAATTCAGCACAACAACCAGGAAAGTAGCAACTGTTACAAGTCAAGATGTTGCCATGCAAAAGTAGAAGGAATTTGTTCTTACAAAAACTCTGATATGATTGCAAGAGACAACAGCTTAGTAGCAGAAGGGCAGGAATAAGGAGCTGTGCTGTATGCATGATTGTACATTAACAAAACCATGTGCAAGACCTATTTCTGACAATACTTATCTGAACTACTATACAGGCCTGGCCAGCTGCAGAATGTTACCCTATGGGGAAGTTTCCCCCTTGGGTCCCCAGAATACTGATCAACGAAAAGGGATGTGTGGCTGGGATGCCATTGGATTCCAATAACTGATGACTGTTGGAACATCCCCTTGGAGTGATGGACAATTCTGAGGTTGCGTTAAGTTGTACTAAACATTAAAACCAGCTCCAGGATTTATTGGTAAATGTAACTTTTGCTTCCTCCCTCATTCTAGTGGTGCTCTGGGTGCAGCTCATCTTAAAAAAGCTGTGGGCCCATTATTTGATTACAGGGAAATACAAGGAAATTAATGGTACTTTTCGGAGCAACAATGGGATAAATACTGGGTTAATCACAGAAAACAAATTCTTGAAAATTAAATCAGATTGAATGACAACTAATGCAGAGCTAAAAACTTTAAATAGTCCAGTTTCCCAAGGAGAATAAGACATAATGATAGAGGAAAAAATTATTTGACTTCATCTGCCTCTATCCTGATTTCCATTCATCAATGCATGAGTTGAAATAGGACTTTGTGGTGGATTTCCTTGAGGATGACACCTTTAACTTTGGGCATTTAAAAAAAAAAGCAGAACTCCCTGATGATTTTATGGAGAATTCTTCTTCAGAGCTAATGTAACTTCAGAGCTAATGCTCTGATGATTTTATGGAGAATTCTTCTTCAGAGCTAATGCTCTGTTGTGGCTTTATGTCAATAACATACTCCCGAATGTATCTGATGAGAGGTGATATTTTTAAACATGAGCTTAAGGGGAATATATAATATCTAGCTGCACAATCCTCTTGAATGAAAAATGGTTTTGAAGGTGTTGATTTCTGGAAATGCCTTTGTTCCCAATACGACTGTGAGTTATATACACCAGTCATGCTCTTAATGACCCCAGGAGGTCTATCCTGCTTTGTTGAGCTATGTATTAAGGAAGGAGAAAAAGTAGTGGCCATTGTGTTATTAATGTACAAATAAGCTGCATAGTGAGAACTGAATGTGGAACAAAAATCAGTTGAATTTCACATCAAATGACACAGGGCCATGCACTGACTCTATTAGCTTTCATCTGTAAATTTTTTTTTTAATCTCTGCAGTTAAGCTGCTGCAGAATTAATGCTCAATGAGGCTGATGCAGTACTCAGAGACCCTGATAATGGATTTGCCAGATATGTCACATGATGGAATCTTTCCACGTGAAACACATTTTGTAAATAGGTTTGGCATATAAAATTACTCACTGGAGTGTGCAAGTGAAGGATCCCCAACACCTACCTCCATGGGTGATTTTGCACCTGCAGGTGTGCTTTTTTGTGCATACACAAGCAAAGCAGCATATATGTAGGTGGAGGAAGTCTTCTGAATATTAGGCCTAAAGGACCTGTTGTGTAGGAGAAGGGATTATAACAGAGCAATGCAACACTGGAAGGAATGAGCTGTAAGAAACTACAATTGAAAGAACAGTTTGACTTAAAATTAGAGTTCAGAGAGCTAAATTAGTGAAGTTCTGAACAAGGGTATTGGCTATACAATATGCAACAGATACTTTGGCTTTGCTAGCCCTGGTAGTATCTCTGTTTGAGTGTGTATTCTTCGTGATAAACACAAGTAGGAATATAGAATACAAGATTAACTCATCTCTGTCTCCACAAGAAAAAAAAACCCGTGCCTGTAAGTCCAGTCTTTCCTGACCAGTTGGAGGGTGTGACAATGTTCTCAGTCTTCTGGCTAAGATCAAGTGTAGATATGTAGGAACCTCTATTAAAGATTAATTGCAGCAGACACACAAGACTTAGACAAGAGACATGACTAGGGATATTGCCCTCTTCCTTCCCTGACAGACTATATATGTCTCCAGGAAGACCCATAAGCCACCAACAGACCAAGGTATGCACTCCACCCATGTGCTTTACATCCACAAACTGTGATTCTATATCCTTTATGGGCAGCATTCCTGAGAATGCTTATTTGCTGATGCAGTTAGAAAAAACTCACCAACCTTAATCTGAACCAATGCTGGTTATGTACACTATGTATCTTAATCTGAACCAATGCTGGTTATGTACACTGTGTATCTCGTTAACCATGTAAACCAATACTTGTATTTCCTCATAACCCAAGTTTGACCCCAGATTTACAGTGCCTTCCTTTTTAATTTATATCCTGTAAACTTTATTTGAAACATTACCTTTAATAAATTGTTGAACATATATTAAAGATTAGTTGTAGCTCATAATACTATAAAAGAAAATCAGAATGCCTTCCTTTTTTATTCCTTTTAACTGAAATTGATTGTTTTAATAATATAGAAGTAACATCAACATTCAGATAGTCATTTTGAGCATCTATAGAGTCCTGAAAATTCAATCAAGATGCTGTTGGATATTGTCTCATTGATTTTATATTAGTTATCAATTATTTTATTACCTGTCTCCATTACTTTTTGGTGGTAGTGGTGGCGGCTGTGCATTATGACTCTGATCCACTCCAAACTGCATTTTGAACCTACCAAATTAAGGAGGTATTTGGATCTAGAATTTTAGTTTTTTACTTTAATTCAAAATGTATTCTGTTACCATCTGGGGTACCATAATATTGAACCTATGAAAAGGGGAACTACATAAAAATGAGGAAATAGAAACTATACAAAAATGAGGTTAGTTAAAAAGAGATAAAAAGGAATAGTGCCAAAAGTAAAATCCCTGCAAGGTGCATGGAAACTTTTTCAAGACACCATAATAAAGGCTCAACTTAAATGTATACCCCAAATTAAAAAACACAGTAAGAGTATCAAAATGTGCCACTGTGGCTTAACAACCAAGTAAAAGAAGCAGTGACAGATAAAAAGGCATTGTTTAAAAAGTGGAAGTTAAAGCCTAGTGAGGAAAATAGAAAGGAGCGTAAACACTGCCAAATTAAGTGTAGAAATATAATTAGGAACCTAAAGAATAGCTAGCCAAAAATTCATAAAGTAAAAGCAAAACTTTTAAAAAGTATATCAGAAGCAGGAAGCCTGCTAAACAACCAGTGGGGCCACTGGATGATCGAGATGCTAAAGGAGCACTCAAGAACAAGAACGTCATTGTGGAGAAACTAAATAAATTATTTGCATCACTCTTCATGGCTGAGGAATTGTCCCAGATTAAAATGTGAATAGAGGAGGTTTTGGAACAAAGTGATAAATAAAACAGTAACAAGTCACGAGGTTCAGATGTCATTCACCCAAGAGTTCTGAAAGTACTAAAATGTGAAATTGTCGGACTACTAACTGTGGTTTGTAACCTATCCTTTAAATCATCTGCTATAGTTGTAACCTATCCTTTAAATCAGCTTCCGTACCTAATGATTGGAAGATAGCTAACGTGACACCAATATTTAAAAAGGGTTCTAGAAGTAATCCTGGCAATTACAGACTGGTAAGTCTAATGTCAGTACCGGACATGTTAGTTGAAACTGTAGTAAAGAATAGAATTGTCAGACACATAGATGAATATAATTTGTTGGGGGGAAGTCAACATGGTTTCTATATAGGGAAATCATGCCTTACTAATCTACTAGAATTCATTGGGTCAGGGAATCAACAAGCAAATGGACAAGGAGGGGGTCCAACGGCTAGAGAGTACTTAGATTTCCAGAAAGCCTTTGACCAGGTCCCTCATCAATGGTTCTTAATCAAAGTTGTCATGGGATAAGTGGCAGAGTCCTCTAAAAGATCAGAAACAAAGGATAGGAATAAATGGTAAGTTTTCAAAATGGAGAGAGGTAACTAGTGGTGTTCCCCAAGGGACTGTACTGGGACCAACCCTATTCAATGTACCTATGAATGATCTGGAGAATGAGGTAAATAGTGAGGTGGCAAAATGTACAGGTGATACTAAACTGCTCAAGATAGTTAAGTCCAAAGCAAATTGTGAAGATCTTCAAAAGGATCTCCGAAAACTAGGTGACTGGGCAACAAAATGGAAAACAAATTTTAATGCTGATACATGTAAAATAATGCATATTAGAAATCATAATCCCAACTATATGTGCAAAATGATGGGGACTAAATTAGCTATTATCACTCGAGAGATCTTGGAGTCATTGTGGATAGTTCTCTGAAATCATTCACTCAATGTGCAGTGGCAGTCAAAAAAGCAAACAGAAGATTAGGAATCATTAAAAGGGATAGAGACTAAGACAGAAAATATCTTATTGCCTCTATATAAATCCATGGTATGCTCACATCTTGAATACTACATGCAGATGTGGTCAGCTCATCTCAAAAAAAGGTAGCTTGGCATTGGAAAAAGTTCAGAAAAGTGCAACAAAAATTATTAGGGGTTTGGAATGGCTGTCATATGTGAAGTTCAGAAAAGTGCAACAAAAATTATTAGGGGTTTGGAATGGCTGTTATATGTGGAGAGATTAATAAAACTTGGACTTTTTAGTTTGGAAAAGAGGAGAATAAGGGGGGTATTTTAGAGGTCTATGAAATCATGACTGGTGTGATGAAAGTAAATAAAGAAAAGTTATTTACTCATTCCCATAACACAAGAACCAAATGATATTAATTGGTAGCAGGTTTAAAACAAACAAAAGGGAGTATTTCTTCACACAATGCACAGCCAATATGTGGAGCTCCTTGCCAAAGGATGTTCTATAGAACAGGACTTTAACAGGAATCAAAAAAGTACTAGATAAATTCAATGGCTATTATCCAGGATAAGCAGAAATGGTGTCCCAAGCCTCTAGGAGACAGGAAAGAGGGAGTAAGTTGGGCTACATCTACACTATGGCGCTATTTTGGGAAGGCTACATCTACACTGTGGTGCTATTTTGGGAAACAGGAGGTATCCCAAAATAACTATTCCATGTCTTTTAAACAAGCCCATTATATCAAAATATAACAGTCTTGCTATTCCAACCTTTCTGTAAGCCTCATTCCATGAGGATTAAGGGACATTTCAGAATAGCACTCTATTTTGAAATTTGGCACTGTGTAGACAGCACCAAATTACAAAATAAGCTATTTTGAAATTAACTTAAAATTAATTTGAAATAAGCTACGGAATTTGTGTAGCTCAAATTGCGTAGCTTATTCCAAGCTATGGGAGCAGTGAAAATGCACCCTTGATGATTACCTGTTCACTCCCTCTGAGGCATCTGGTATTGGCCACTGTTGGAAGACATGATATCGGGCTAGATGGACCTCTGGTCTTACTCAGTATGACAGTTCTTACATTCATCTGTTCTGATGGTAAAGTGGTTCCTGTGCTCCAAAAAAAGTTCCCTATTTGGAAGGGTAATGTACCACAATAAATAATTTCTATAACTGAGACTACCCATGTGCATAAAATTAAGCATGTTTATGAGTCTTGGGAGAAGTAAGCCCTAAGTATCCAATCCTATGAACATTTACTACTAAACTAAGCACTTAAAATTGATATAGTCCCATTGAGCTTAAGGGACTATGTCCTCAATAGTCAGTACATCAATATATCAATGCTTATGGAGCTGGCACATCTCTTTGATTGTACCAATCATGTCCTTGTGAATTCCATGGCCTTTTATAAGATGCAACTTTCCCCAGAAGAATGAATCAGGCTTTTTTCAGAAACAGTTAATACCACACCTTGAATTTGAATGATGTGAGGCATTCAAAGGTAAGCACATATTTGAACAATCCATTCTTCAAATTCATGTTGTTCTTCAAAGATAAGGAAACTTGGAGCTCATGCTGAGAGGAGAAAGTATGGGTTTCTCAGAAACAAGCTGAAAGTCTTCAGGAGCAAATACAAACAAAAAAAAGGCTTAAAATCCCAGACAAAATGCAGTGATGGACATAACATTTATAAATACACTAGCACATTTACCAGGCATTGCTCAGGCCCTTCACTAATTAATTTCTGTTTTTCTTCATTGAAATCATTGCTCTGGGGTAGGGGTGGGGATGAAGAGTTCAGTATGCAGGCCACCCTGGGGATAGAGGACAACCACAGCCCTCTCTCACCGCAGCATCTTGGAGCCATTACAGACGCATCTCTCCATGGCCACTGCAGCTCCAGCGGGTACAGCCAGGGGAAGGATGCATGCCCCCGACTGGGGTAGGTCCAGGTTCATCTAATCCCTGCACACCCTACCTGAGCGAGGAATGCAGCAAATTGTGCACTTTCCCCTTGCTCTCTGACAAAGGGGAACAGCCAGTAGTGTTCCCTTGTGAACTGAGGGGAGCTTCAGCCCCCTCTCCTTAATGGGTGCCTGGGGTGGTTTGAGACTTGGGACTGAGGCAGTTCCAGATAGGGGTTGTGCCCCCAGCCAGCCTCTTTCACCTGCCTAGTGATTTTCTGTATTGTCAAGATATTTCCTTTTTTACTTTCCTGTCAGGACCTGAGTTCAGGGTTCTGTGATCTCAAATCTCATTGAATCAGAATGTCTTCTAAAACTTTCCTTCTCTTTTCGATTTGAGCTGAACAAAGCAAAAGAACAATCTTTCTTATGGTATTTCAAATACACCTGGTCCTGACCAAAACCTAACCTGCAGTGGGAAGTTGCATGAACTAAAAATAACAGTAAACAGAATTATTTAAAAAGTTGAAGGAGAACATACAGACAAAACTTTGAAGAAGTTGGCTCATTCTTTATCTTCTGCATGAAGATGGTGTCTGATTGAAACTTAAATACGAATAAACCTCTGTAACAAGGAATGATTTGTTTTAAGATTTAAAAATACCAAATTGAAGTGGGCATAGTATAAAGAAGAGACCCTATTGCTACAGTCAAATTATGAAGAAATTAGCTTTGACCACATTTCTTATTACTATTTATAATTTGTAGTTTGGTGTTCCTAGGAGTCTCCATCATGGACCAAGGTCCCACTGTGCTGTACCAACTTAAGCCAAAGAGATAGTTCTTCCAAAAAGTTTCCAATCTTGATCTGGGAAGCCAATCAACAGCTTTGGAACTAGTTCAGCCCCATCCATGCTGGGGAAAATCCTTCTGAATTTTGAAACTGCTTAGTATTTATTTCTGGTAAAGCTTGAATACTGAGCACCATTTTCTAACATCTGTCATAGTCTGCCTGAGCCTTTTACAGTTAAAAGGTACTTGGCAATTCACTTTGAGAGCCTTTCAGCCAATATCCTGGTGAAATTCTACTCTGGGACATAAAGAGCACTGTGCATTACACGAAGGGTATGTCACAGTGCCGCCCCCAGAATAAGTTTGAGCCCATTTGAGCCCATTTCTGCCAGAGGCTGAGCCCAATGACTCCCATTATAACTGAGGGCACTAGGAATGTGATGAACATTACACCATGAGCCATTTCAATAAGTCGTGCTTTCTAGGGCCTGTATCCACACTGACTATTACATTATATAATACCTTGAACATTAAGGTTACACCCTGAAGGAGTCTAGTGGTATGCATGTGTAATCAGAACAAAGGAATCCCTTTTAGCTGCTTCTGCATCACTCTAGCAGTATGGAATCACAACATGTACATAAAAGAGAAAAAAACATAATTTTTCATATTTCTCACAACATTGAAGAATGGGGTTACCTTCTATTCCCTCCATAGAACACAAATATATCTGACTTGGCAGGTTAGCAGTAAAAAAGGGAATTCTTGGCATCTGTGAATGTATTTGTATTTGAAATTCCTGACGAGGCTGTTCCACTTCAAGAGGCTTGGTATTCCCTTAAAAACTACGACATTCTGTTAGAGTCAAAGGAGACCGCTCTTATAAGCAGGACTAGAGCGGTGCACTTCCTTTAATATGAATAAGCTGAAGTGTTGCTAACTTGCCAAGGAAGAAGGAAGTGGAGAGAATCCAATGCTTATTGCCATCATTATTGGAAAAATTCTGTGTGATCCATGTCACATTGTTTATCTCCTTTACCTAGTGCTGCTGTTAAACATTGGGGCCAATTCAAAATTGCCATCACTCCTGCTTTGGAATCTCTGAGTGCAACAAGTGAAGTCTAACACAAGGTTGGTAATACTTCCACTTAACTCTGTCCTAGAATTGTATAATGGCCTTCAAAACAAAAATTGACTAATGGTTTAGCATGAGCTGTTGAGAAGTAACCTTTCTAAGGTGCATAGGGTATTTTTGATTACATAGACAAAATAATTGCTACTTGCTGAATGATGCCTTCTGATAAAGGGTGACTGTCCAACTTGTTCTTTTCTGGTCTGTAAATCTTTTTGGAAGACATAGAGAGGTGAGAGATGAGTAGGAAGGATGAGTTGATCTAAAAGTCCTTGAAAATGTATTTCTCCATTTCATAATAAAATAACTTTTTTTAGACATCTAATATTTTTTACAGTGAGTATATCTTTGTGTATATATGAGTGTATGTGTGTAACTTTTGTTCTAAGAGAAAAAATAACCCTTTATGTCAACTTTTCTGAAATGACTACTAATATTTTTTACAAATGCCTTGTGTATAGAGTGTGTATCTTTGGCCTGAGGAGCAGCAATTGCAGTGTGTTTGTAATGAAATTGGGCCAGTTTATATGTACATTGCTGGTTTTCTGAAATGATTCAGAGACATTCACAGATGAAAAACACATTTCATAAATACCCTTTATCTTGTCCTCATCCACTTGCATTCTTATTCTCATGGTGTAGTTAGACCTTGCTGCTCTCAGCTGAATTTGTCAAGATCCTCCCTCGTATTCTCTTAACTAGAGAAACTCTGACATTTAGGTAATATGTATAAATTACAAATTCTGGCCAAGATTTTAAAAAATGGGTGCCTACCTTTAAGTGCTGAAATCTTTTGTTGGTTGTTACATAAGTCGCCTGATTTTAAAAAATGCTGACTACAGCAACTATGCAACTCTTGCTTCTGTTAATAGTCAGACCTATTGCATAACATATTGATCACCCATTCAGTGTTTTTGCTGACTCCTTGTGTATAGTTATTTGATAATCCTTTTAAGAGATTAAGCAGCAGGATTATATAATGAGGCAACTAAAACTTCTTTATTCATTTAATCTTACTCCTACCTATTCCAGGTCCTACTTATCTTTCAGGATAGATATCAAAGAAGAAAAAGAGTTACATGTAAGGAATCAGAGACCGAATAAACAATTACTATTAGAGTTAAGGGGGAAATGGTTTTCCCATCCTTCAAGAATTTTTGAGATATTGCTAATTGTTTCCATCCTGAATGGGGAAAAAAAACTTAACATTTTGAAATTATTTCAGAACTGGTGACACAGAAAAAATGGGTTTGAGTCACTTAAAGCATTTTGAACTTTTTTTACATTTTTAAACTTTCGTTAAAAAACATACACAATTATATCATTCCAATGGTGTGTGCTCCATGAGAATATCTATAGGACCCTTTCCCTAAGTACTGCTCCACACCTGGTGTTTACAGATGTTTTCATCCAGCACTGGATGAACTACAGAGTCCTGACTGCTGCCAAGTTCCCTTTGCTTTTTTCTTAAAGTTTTTGCTGCTTGTACTGCATATGCAATTGGGGGTTGTGTCAGATAGCTTACAGCGGTACAACTTGGTCTCCCAGCAATTCACTGCTCATCACACAGGAGTGCCAGTGCTTGCTTTCTATCCTAAGTGCATAGAGAGCAACATTGTTAACAGGTGAATGTTCTGTTTTACACAGAACCAAGATGTGGCTATTCATTACAGTCGCATATTTGTTACAAGCAACTGTATCCCCAGAGGGCCTCAAAAGAGTGAAGAGAGATCATGTGGACCCTGAAGCATACATGAACATTGTAAGTTACTCATTAGAATAAATTTTAAATGAATGGAATGTGTTGCTGATAGCACAGTGTTATTATTCAAAGTTGTCTGTTTTAACAGGTGTAGGTGAAATGACTTAGTTAACATTTCCCCTCTTCTCAAAACTTACTATTGTTCTATTTTGCCAGATGTTCCTTTCTATATGCTTATATAGCAGTCCAGATCATGATAGGCAGACAGTACAAAAGTTATATCTTCCTTTACTGAAATGGCATAGCAAAAATTCCTATTTGAATGTTTGTTTGTTGCATCAGCATCGGCCTGCCAGCTGAAAGGGGCAGCAGTGAAGATTCTGGAACAACAGACTTCCTCAGCCTACATTTTTGGAAGAGATTTGTGATATTTGAATGGGGGTTGATTTTAAAAAAAAATGCTATGCACCCATTGGCTGAAAATCAAATCCCTTTAAATCACTAGTCTCTCTCAAAAAAAAATCTCAATCCTACTGCTCTGCAGGGTAAATGTCATTAGACAATGCTGAATATCTGTAAAATGACTTTGCCTTCCAGCAGCAAATGTTATGGCTCTGGGACAGTGATGGTTTCAGAGCAATGAGCTGGCTCTGCGCACTTCAGGTACGTCTACACAGCAGCGTTATTTTGGAATAACAGCCATTATTCCGAAATAACAAAGTGTGCATCTACACACAAGCAGGTATTTCAACATAATGTCAAAATAATGTCCTGCTAGAGGACTTCTTACTCTGACTCCTATAACCCTCATTTTACAAGGATTAAGAAAGCTGGAGTGCTCTGTTTTGGAATAAATGCTATGTAGATGTGCCCAAATTCAAAATAAGCTATTTTGATGTAAGCTACGCAAGTAGTGTAGCTCAAGTTACATAGCTTATTTCTACTTTAGCCCTTCCTGTGTGACCTTGGGAAAGTCACTGTGACACACTGTGGTCCAATCCTGACTCATGAACAGCCGTGTCCCCCTCGCCATGCAATATTGGGTGCCTACAATGCTTTGCTGACATAGCTCCCACCTGGGCAGCTCACAAAGAAGCCTTTCACTCTTCAAGCCACATGTTGAGTGTCTGTGTGTTACTGCACTCTGCCAGCCACACTTGGCTCTCACCAGTCTTGGTTATACTACAAGATGACCCCAACACACCCGTCTTATATTTTTACCCTAAAAAATGTATGTAATTTAGCCCAATCCTCTTATGAATAACACAAGTTAAATTAGGTCCATTATTTCTTTGAAATAAATAATATGTGCACAACTTGCCATCCCAGATACTTCAATTTAAACATACTATATTAGATAAACTACAGAGATTTTAAGTGAGTTCAAATAATGAGGCATAAGAATCAGAAATGGTTACAAGAAAAATAAAATATTTACTGATACCTAACTTAACAAGCTATATCAGATTTAAGCAGTTTCTCATCACATATTTTCAGAAGTCTTTCTGGCAAAATCCTGTTGGTCCAGACCCCTTCTCACAGAGTCCAGGTTCTGTAAATACAATGGAAAGGGGAGAAAAAAGGGGTGCCTTGAGGTTCTTGTCTCTCCTTTTTATAATTTCTGTCCTACTGTTAACAACCATTTTCAGCTGGACCCCAGGGCTGAGATCACCGCTCCCTCGAGGAGCAACACAGACACTGAAACATTTCAGGTCTGAGGAAAATGCAGTTTGGGGCCTAACTCCCAGGGAAACCACTCCCCAAAGGGGATGAGAACCCCAAATACATAATTTAGGTAAGCTCCTTTTAACAATGAAAGAGGGCTATACATATTGATTGCTCCCCCAGGTAACTGTTCTTTACACTGGACTTCATAGTAAATAAAAATGATTTTATTAAGTACAAGCAGTAGGATTTAAGTGGTTGCAAGTGAAAACAGGAAGAGCAAAGTAGATTATAAATTTAAAATAACAAAAATGCATAGCTAATTCTAACACTTAGAATCATAGAATACAAGAATTGGAAGGGACCTCGAGAGATCATCAAGTCCAGTCCCTTGCCCTCACAGCAGGACCAAACACCGTCTAATTCATCCCTGTTAGATGTCTATCCAATCTGCTCTTAAATATCTCCAGAGATGGAGATTCCACAACCTCCCTAGGCAACTTATTCCAGGGTTTAACCACCCTGACAGTTAGGAAGTGTTTCCTAATGTCCAACCTAAACCTCCCTTGCTGTAGTTTAAGCCCATTACTTCTTGTCCTATCATCAGATGTCAAGGAGAATAATTTTTCTCCCTCCTCCTTGTAACAACCTTTTACATACTTGAAAACTGCTATAATGTACCCTCTCAGTCTTCTCTTTTCTAAACTAAACAAGTCCAATTCTTTCAGTCTTCCCTATTGGTCATGTTTTCTAGGCCCTTAATCATTTTTGTTGCTCTTCTCTGGACCTTCTCCAATTTTTCCAGATCTTTCTTGAAATGTGGTGCCCAGAATGGAACACAATACTCCAACTGAGGCCTAATCAGAGCAAAATAGAGCAGAAGAATGACTTCTCATGTCTTGCTCACAATACTCCTGGTAATGCATCCCAGAGCTATGTTTGCTTTTTTGCAAAGAATCACACTGTTTACTCATATTTAGCTTGTGGTCCGCTATGACCCCAACATCTCTTTCTGTGGTACTCCTTCCTAGACAGTTGCTTCCCATTCTGTATGGATACATCTAAACTGCAGAATCTTTCCAGGATACATCTCTTTCTGTGGTACTCCTTCCTAGACAGTTGCTTCCCATTCTGTATGGATACATCTAAACTGAAGAATCTTTCTAGGATACCAAGGAATATGTCTGCTTTTCTAAAAAGAATTCAAAAAAGCAGATGCATTTTTTGGCATCCCTGTAAATTCATTCTACGAGGAAAAAGGGATGTTCCAAAGAGGCTTTTTTCCTGATATTTGGCCCACTGTAGATGGGCCAATTGTTGGGAAAGCCTCTTTCAGAAGAAAAGTGGGAAAAGATACACAAATTACGATTCATAGATGAAGCTATTGAACAGAACTGGTCCCAAAACAGACCCCTGCGGAACCCCACTTGTTATGTTCCTCCAACATGATTGTGAACCGCTAATAACTACTCTCTGAGGGTACGTCTGCACAGCAGGGCTTCACTCAAAATAAGCTATACAAATTGAGCTACATCAATTGCGTAACTTATTTCAAAATTGGGAGCATCTACACAGCACTTATTTCAAAATAGAGCACTCTTCCTCTGACTTCCTTTGCTCCTCATACTATGAGGGTTAGAGGAGCTGGAGTAAGAAGTCCTCCAGCTTGACAGTATTTTGAAATTATTTCGAAATAACTGATTGCTGTGTAGATGCAGACTAAGTTATTTTGAAATAATGCTAGTTATTTCAAAATAATGTTGCTGTGTAGACATACCCTAAGAATGGTTATCCAGCCAGTTATGCACCCACTTTCTAGTAGCCCATCTAGGTTATATTTTCCTAGCTTATTAATAAGACGATCATGCAAGACCACATCAAATGTTTTACTAAAGTCTAGGTATACCATGTCCACCACTTCTCCCTTTTTCACAAGACTTATTATCCTATCAAAGAAAGCTATCGGATTGGTTTGACATGATTTGTTCTTTACAAATCCATACTGGCTGTTAGCTATCACTTTATTGTCTTCCAGTTGTTTGCAAATGAATTCCTTAATTACTTGCTCCATTATCTTCCCTGGCAGTCTTCTGGAATCTCTCCTAACTTTCATGCCTTTTCAAAGATGATGGCTAAAGGCTCAGATAACTCCTCTATCAGCTTTTTGAGTGTTTTAACTTTTAAACCTGCCCCATTTGCACTAGCAGTCACTATGTTAAGCATCCCGTCACTATCAATTTTCTTGACAAAAATGGAAACAAAGAAGTAATTAAGCACCTCTGTCATTTCCAAGTTTCCGGTTATTGCTTCTCCCTCTTCACTAAGCCATGAGCCTACCCTACCCTATCCTGGGTCTGCCTCTTGCTTCTAATATATTTGTAGAATGTCTTGTTATCTTTTATGTTTCTAGCTAGACTGAGCTAGTTTTGTGCCTTTACCTACTTGCTTTGTTTGCTTATATTCATCCTTTGTAATTTGACCTAGTTTCCACTTTTTATACAACTCCTTTTTAATTTTTGGATCATGTAAGTTCTCCCGGTTAAGCCAAAGTGGTCTCTTACCATACTTTGTATCTTTCCTACACACTCCTTTTTATAACCATTTTTTACAAAGTTGAAGACTCAGTCTTCTCTTCTCTAGACTAAACAAATCCAGTTTTTCTATCTTTCAATGTAGGTCAAATTTTCTGGACTTTTAATAATTTTTGTTGCTTCTCTAATTTGTCCACATCTTTCCCAAAGTGTGATGCCCTAAACTGGACACAGTACTCCAGTTGAGACCTTATCAATGCACAATGGAATGAAATAATTACTTCTCATCTCTTGCTTACAACACTCCAGTTAAAACCTTCCAGAATGTATTGTGGAGAATGAAAGAAAAGAAGGGTGGCTTTGAGGGATGTGTCATTAAAATATGACATTTTATTATGGACATTTAATAACACAGGGACTGTATCCTCAGTCACAATCTTTTCTCACCATAGAGATCCTTCCATATACATAGTGTGTAGAAAATGGACACCCATAAGCCATCTGAAGCAAAAGCATTTGTGTTTTCTCTTGCAGAGTGAGCTTATTACCTACAGAGGGTACCCTAGTGAGGAATATGAAGTGGTGACAGAAGATGGCTATATTCTTAACATTAACAGAATCCCTTATGGAATAGAAAATCAGGGGAATACAGGTATGATTTATTTCCAAAAAACAAGGAAAGTTTGTGAGGATACATTTTGAAAAATGGGTATCTAAATTGCTTTACCAATCTGCATATGTTTGGGCTCAAATACGGCTTGCCTTAGATGCATAGTCACACTGAAGTTGACAGAAATGTTTTTGGGAGTAAAGTGAGAAGAATTTGGTGATAAGTGAGTGGTAGGGGAACAAACTGCTGCAAGCCAGAAAGTACTGTTGCAGCTCTTGTTCTGGCACCCATATGCACCTATTTTTGAAAATGTGTCCTTGAATGAATCAAAGATTGTATTCTGATCATAGTGGATTTAGTATTTCAGTTGATTTTTTTTTTTAATGTGTGAAGGCTGCAATCTACCCCAACTACCCACTTTCAGGTAATCCCAATTTTACCCTTAAGTTTCATGGTTTGTGTTTTGGTTGCTTTTGTAAACACTTGTTTAACCTCAGTGACAAATTAACATTTTAAATAAAAACAACAAGGAGTCATATGGCACCTTAAAGGTTAACAGATTTCTTAGGGCATGAACTTTCGTGGGCTAGAACTCATTTTGCCAGATGCATGAAGTGGAAACTTTAAGTTTGGCAGGGCTATATTCAAACATGCAAAGATGGGAGAGTTCCATTGCTATGGGGAGGACCAGTACTAAAATAGTCAATTCAGTCAGGGAGGATGTGACCCATTCCCAACAGATGATGAAAAGGTATGAATATCAACAGAGGAAAAATTACTTTCTGTAGTGAGCTAGCTACTCCCAGTCAATATTCAAACCCAGTTTGATTGTGTCAGGTTTGCACATGAATTGCAGTTTCATGCTGCAGTCTGAGTGTCCAGGGAGAGTGAAGTGCTCTCTTACCAGTTTTTTAATATTACCATTCTTGATGTCTGATTTGTATCCATTTATCCTCAAAGGGTATGTCTACACTTGCACCCTAGTTCGAACTAGGGATGCAAATGCAGGCATTAGAAATTGCTAATGAATCAGGAATTGAAATATCCCGTGCTTCATTAGCGTGATCTCGCTGGTGAGCTAGTTCGAATCACAGTTGATTTGAACCAGAAAGTGCATGCCGGAACGCATTAGTTTGAACCAAACTCCTTGGTTCAAACTAGCATGTCCTGGTGCGCACTTCCTGGTTCGAATCAGCTGTGATTCGAACTAGCACGCTGGCAAGATCATACTAATGAAGCGCAGGATACTTAAATCCCTGCTTCATTAGCAATTTCAAATGCCTGCATTTGCATCCCTAGTTTGAATTAGGGTGCAAGTGTGGACATACCATTACATAGAAACAGTCTGGTTTGACCAATGTACATGGCAGAAGGGCATTGTTAGCATATGATGGCATATTCACATTAGTAGGTGAATAGTCCCTGATGGTGTGATTGATGTGGTTAGGTCCTATGAAGTTGTCTCTGGGGTAGACATGCAGACCGAGTTGACAATGGGGCTTGTTGCAGGGATCAGTTCTTGGATTAGTGTTTCTGTAGTAAGATATATAATTGCTGGTGAGTGTTTGCTTCAGGTTGGAGGACTGTCTGTGAGTGAGGACTAGCCTGCCTTCCAAGGTCTGTGAGAGTAAGACATTGTCTTTCAGGATAGGTTGTAAATCCTTGTTGATGTGCTGGAGAGGCTTTAGCTGGAAGCTGTGTGTGATGGCCAGTAGTGTTCTGTTACTTTCCTTGTTGTGTCTGTCTTGTAGTAGGCGACTTCTGGATAACTGTCTGGCTCTGTCAGTCTGTTTCTTTGCTTCCCCAGGTGGGTATTGTAATTTTAAGAATGCTTGCTAGAGAGTGGCTAGCTCATTATAAAAAGTAATGTTTGCCCTTTTGGTATTCTCACCTTATCAACTGTTGGGAATGGGCCACATCCATCCTGATTGAATTGATTTATTTAGCACTGGTCCTCCCCATAGAAATGAAACTCCCATCTTTGCATGTGTATGTGTATATATTCCTGCCAAACTGACATTTCTATTTCATGCAGGTGATGAAGTGGGTTCTAGCCCATGAAAGCTTATGCTCAAATAAATGTGTTAGTCTTTCTACACTGCATGACTATTTAAAAATAAACTATTCTGGAATAGTTACTCTGAAATAGTTTATTTCAAAATAGCACATCTACACTGAAGGGAATCCTCAAAATAAGTCGGAGACATGCTATCTTGATTTAGAGCCCCAGGAGGCACGTGGAAGGAATAACTTAGAATGGCCCTGGTGAGAGGCTATTTCAAAATAGCAACAGTGGTGCGTCCACACATGCCTTATTTCGAAATAGCTATTTCAGAATAGGCGTTATTCCTCGTAGAATGAGCTTTTCAGATTTTGGAATAAGCCATCCATTATTTTGAAATTATTTTGAAATAACGTAATGGCTGTTTAGACACTCACATTGTTATTTCTAAATAACACTAGTTATCTTGATATAATGGTGCAGTGCAAACATACCCTAAGATACCACAGGACTTGTTGTTTTCGCTGAAACAGACTAACATGGCTATCCCTCTGAAATTTGAATAAAGAAAACCTTTTTTACATATTCCATATCTTTGCTATTTAAATTAAGATATTAAGACTCTCATCTCCCTGTCCAACCAGTACAATTTCAGTAAAATTAGGAAAAACAGAAAATCAACTTTTTAAAAGTCCCAGGCACTCATTTTCTCTCATCACAAATTGAGAAAGGGATGTTCACTTTTAAAATAAATCCTTAGTAGTTCACCTTTAATCCAACGCAAAACTAGGAATCACAAGTTTTGAGTACTGGAGCGGGTGCCTTTGTATTACCATATTAATAAAGCAGCCAGTAAAGTTTTTTTTTCTTTCAGTTGTAAAGCCTGCTGTGTTTCTCCAACATGGATTACTAGGAGATGCTAGCAACTGGGTCACAAACCTGGCCAACAACAGCCTGGGCTTCATCTTAGCAGATGCAGGCTATGACGTTTGGATGGGAAACAACAGAGGGAACACCTGGTCTAGACGACACATGAATCTTTCTGTTGAGAAAGAGGAGTTCTGGTCTTTCAGGTAGACTGAATTATTGAGCACCGTGGGAAATAGCATTCGGAGGGACTTGGGCTATTAAAATCTTTCTTTTTTTTTCTTTCGGCTCATCTATCTAGACTTTTATAAAACACGCATCACTGTGGTGTCTGAGTACATCTAGGTCATTGGTTTGAACTCAGTCCAGACTGACAGCGAGTGAAATTTGTTGACATCTGACGGCTTAGAAGGTGATGCTGTATAATTAGTTGGCAGTGGTCCGTTCACACTTTAAACATATTACCATAACTAGTAATAATTGAAGTCCTCATTGGCCTATTAGACACTGCAGAGGTTCAGTGGGGTGGCTCAGGAAAGCCTGCTCTGCTTGTGTCCATGCTATACCTTCCCTGTAGGCAAACAGAAGACTTCCATCACTAGGGCTGCCAGTGCACGTTTATTTTAACGAATGTTTGAAGACTTGACTCTAGCAGTACATTATATAATCCAATATCTCCCTCAGAGTGATTCTATTACTGTGTAATTATTTGTTCCTTCTACAAAGCAAGATTAGGCACTTGTGGTCTGAGCCTAAGCTCCCAGTCATTAAAAACATTCTTTCCATTGACTTCAATTGGCTCTTGCTCAATCCCTCAAGTATGAGCAGAAAGCACCTTGGAAATTAGTAAACAGCCTCTTTTACACCAGGGACCACAAGGGCCTAGTACCCAAAATAATAGAATTATTCACAAAATAATTTGTTTTCTCTCATCTGACACACCCGGATTTCCCTTATCCTGTGCTAACTCACATGGATTTAATTTATGCATGCATGTTTTCATCCTTTCTCTCGGCAGTTTTGATGAGATGGCTAAGTTTGACCTTCCAGCAGTACTAAACTTTATTATGCAGAAAACTGGACAAGAGCAGTTGTACTATGTTGGCTACTCACAGGGGGCCACTATAGGTATGTAATGTTACAAGGAATGCAAACTGATATGTTATGGTTAGGGCCTTACCAAATTCATGGCCAAAAAAAATATGTCACAGATCATGAAATCTGGTCTTCGTGTGCTTTTATCCTTTATTACACAGATTTCATGGGGAAGACCAGCATTTCTCAAATTGAGGGTCCTGACTCTAAAGGGAGTTGCAGGAGGTCACAAAATTATTTTTGGGAGGGGGGTCATGGTATTGCTGCCCTCAAAGCTGGGTGGCGAAAGAGTGGCAGCTGTTAGCCAGCAGCAGCACTGAAGTGTGGTGATATCTTATCATGCCACCCCTATTTTTGCACTGTTGCCTTCAGAACTGGACAAGTTGGAAAGCTACTGTTTGATAGCCCAGCTCTGCAGGCAACAGCACAAAAGTAAGGATAGCAGCACCACAACTCTCTTACAATAATCTTGAGCCTCCAACCCCTACTCCCCCACCCCCCATTCTTTTTGGGGAGAGGACCCCTACCATTATATCATGAAATTTCAGGTTGAAATGGCTGAAATCATGCAATTTACCATTTTCAAAATCATATTACTATGAAGTTGACCAAAATGTACTGGGAATCTGATAGGTCCCTAACTGGGGAATCATATCTGCACTGCAGTAAAGACTTCATTTCCATCTTTCAAACACCTTTTTATGAGTGACCTAAAATTCAGATGCAAAAACACTTCCTAAACTGACAGCAGCAAAATTTAGGAAACTTGAACAAAGCCAGTTTTTTATTTTCAGAAGAACAACAAAGAATGGGCCAAATT